TTCTTTTATCCTAATGTTGTGATCACATAGCATTAAGGAAGTTGCATTCCTTTTTCACAGTTCTTGCTGTATACTATATTGCATTAAATTTATTTATATGAATGTTATTTCTCAAACTAGATGGGCTATGCCCTGAGGAAAAGACTACTATATCTCACATATTCTTGCCTTCTATGGAGAAAGTGTCCCAAACACTTATTTCTAATACTGGGAAAGAACATACGGGATGACCTTGAGCTCAACTTCTAAATCTACCACTGATCTTAGAGCAATCTTGAGCATCTTGCCTCATGTATGAATTGGGTATCATAATATCAGCTGCCTCACAGTATTGCAGAGAAGAAAGAAATACATGTGAGAAATCATTTTAAGAGTTAAAAAATGCTTCATAATTATTAACTATTATCATAAAGAAGAAATGCATAACAAGGATAGTGTATTTTTTCCTTGATGAGGGGAAAATCTTATTTTACCCTTTTGGTTTAAATTCCATCTTTCCATAATTGTTCTCCCCGAACCTTTTAATACAAAGGATCATCATTCCTGTCTCATTGTAGTTTTAGATTTTGAAATTAGCTTTTAAGGAATATATTAAATTAAAGATTGTTATGAGAAATAATATTGTTTATGAATTTAGACCAAGATTGGTGGGATAATGGTGATAGCTTTGTTTGTTTTATGGTCTTTTATAGTTATTCTAAGAGGCTGTTGCCTAATGAATTCAAAAGAAAAAATGCTTTTGGCATAGACTCATAATGGTGATACTCAAAGAGAAGTATACAAGACAAAATAGTCTACAGAGAAAGTGAGATATGACATAGTCCATAAAATGATGAGCACAGGTGCATGCTTTGAAAATATATTTTTCCATCCTTCACTTGGAAAGAAATGAAAATATTTGAAAAAATAACATTGAGTCTTTACAGCTCTTCATCTAACAGGTTGAAATTTGAAGGGAAAAAAGGAATGAACTATTGGGTTAGAATAGTGTGCACGAACAAAAACTCATCTCCAAAGAATATCTATGTTTAATCAGTTAGGCAGAGTGGATATGGAAGAAATACTTGAGGTCTTCTTGTAAACTATTTCAGTTATCAGGATATTTGAGCAGACTGATTCCTCTCAATGAAAATTAATTTCCCTTTTCTTTAACCTACTTTAAGCAGAAATTGTTCCTCTGATGGTTCCACGATATGCTTCATGCTACAGAAATGTAGTTCTTGACTTATGTCTACTACTGAATTGTAAACAGTCTAAGGACGGGGGCCAAGACTACATTTATATTTCTTATAAACTTATTTTCAAGATCTTAGAATTAATGCATATGGATTTTTAGTAATATTAAGTTTAAACTATTCTGTGGAAATAACGCAGGAATTGGACAAAACTTTTCCTCTAGTGTTATCTCAGAAGTGATATATTCATCAGAGGCTATTTGCCTCAGAAACCATTTTGAGAACACAAGCTTTGATCACCAGTAGCTACCAATATTCATCGGTGTACTGTAACATCTTAGAATCTCTACTGTGGGATTCAGAGATTGATAACATCAGATATAAATGTCACACTGGATATTTTTCTTCCCCACCATGGGGCCTGGAATTTGTTGACATGAAGCACCCAGATTCACTTTGCCTTCTGTTTTACCTAGTATGAAATGCTCTTCAAGTATGGAATCCACTGGACAATTAATCAGTGGCATACAGTTCAGCTGCCTATCCAAACAGGACCTCAAGAACAAGAGCTGATTGAAAATTTTTGAGACACATCCATCACCTAGCCAGATGGGTTAAAAACTTCCCCAGTCGACTTTTCAACTATGATTCTTTTGAAAAGTGACTGTAGCTTTGATGATGAATATTTTCTAGATAGATTTAATTTGATGGTTAAAAATCACCCAAACAACAGAGATTGTATGCTTTAGTTGATAAAGAGGACCTGAACATTTTTTAAAGCTAAAATACTTTGAGTTATTAGGTAACATCTTGTTGTCATTGCTACAAGCTATAATCATGCTGTTTTAATGCTTCTCTTTTTAAAAATTCATTCATAATGCATTATAACATTAAATTACTAGAGACAACATAGATAATAGCAAAGATAATGTTACCATACATTTAAATAGAGCTCCACAGTTGACAAAACAGTAACAATAAAGCTAGAACACTTTTTTTAATAGCCATGTAATATGTCCCAACTAGGGAGGTCCCTAGAGGATTTTTAAAGAGCTACAAGGAATTCCGGGAGGCCAAGTGGCTGTTTGAAACAGAACAGAGCAGCAAAACTTAAAATACGCTACTAGGGGAAGCTTTGAGGTCACTATGTCTCTATTACTATAGGTATAGACCTAGGAAGATAGCAGCAGACCAGAAAGTTGATGTCTACTGTAAAGGATCAGAAAGGGGGACAAAGATTATGAGACAATCTAACCAAACGTTTCTACCCTCTCCTACCATTAACACTCCAGACCTCTCACAGTTGTTACAATTTCATTATGCCTCATGTACATAAAATTGTTTCTTATTATTTTGCTCACTTTTTATCACCTACAACAGTAGTACCATTCAAAAAATGGTATGCATCAGCTGACAAGATCACTAAGATGCATACTCCCAGGTCTTGCAATGCAGTAAGCTTGTGGTTGGTTCTTGAATTTATCCTTCTAATAGCTGAATCCCCTGATAATTGTAACAGTGGTGACCTTAATGTCACATTTTAAGAAAAAAAAGTGCTTATCTGATATAGTGCCTAGTGTACAATAAATACTCCTGGAATAATATTTGCATAGATGGATTTCTTCAGCAAAACAACTTCTATCTTTGCTTCACTACCTCATGGTCTGGTTGGGCTTCACTCTCCACAAAAAATGGTAGGTAGCTACTGAGCACAACAAGCTAGTCTACAAGTTTTAGGCCATTCATGTGAAAATCTTTGTTGTAAAAGCAAATATATTTAAACATAGTAGTTAAAAATATAGTCTCACATGTTCTAATTTTATTGTTTTATTTTTCTTTTGTTTATTGCATTTCATTTGTGTTGTGTAGTGTGAATAGTACTCCAACACTGACTTTTTTTGAAATAAACACCTGTCTGTCTCATTTTTTATATTTTTCATATTTGATACCCAATATTTGAATTATGCTCTTTATAATTTATATATAGCATTTATGTACTTTTATGAAAAGGTTGCTTTTTTCTTTTCTCTTTAATTTTTATCCCCAAAAACATTTCGTGTGGCTTTATAACATGTATTTATTTGGTATTCTACATCTGCAATCATTATCTTCATTTTTCAAATTTCTTTTCTCTTCTTGACCACTTCTTTCTAATTAAATTTTCAAAGATCTTAGTAAGTTTTGAAATGTCCTTTAGCCATCATACCTAGCATTATATTATCAAATAATGTGTGGAAAATGATAGTTCTTTTCCAGCTGCACATCTACCCTTTCAGCAATATGTGATGTTTTATCCAGAAACAAGTCCAAGTCTTCTGTCAAGAGCTGAAGTGCTCATTATATATCTTCTACTCACTGATTATTAAATTTCTTAGTAGATATTTATATTTAGTAAAAACAGCTATTTTTCTCAAATTAGTTATCTTTTACAAGTACTCTAATATGGAAATCTCTGGCTTTCTCAAGTACTTGTCCAGCTGATTTTTGTGCACTTCTTAAATGTCATCAAATAATGATAGATAATTTTGAATCTACCTAATAGTGATTTTTTCCTACTAAATTAAAATCAAATTTTTGTTTGATGCTTTATTGCATAGCCCAACATTACTATGGTTATGCTAAGTTTTGGAGATATAATAGGCATCATTTTCTTGATTTAATAGCAATGCCATTAGAGTTTCAGCTTCTAATAATTTTGCTACATGTTGGAAAAATTCTATGCCTCACTAAAGAAAAATCTATGTCCTTCCTTGTTTACCAAAATATATGTAACTGTTTTCAATTTTGTCAGATGCCTTTCGGATGTCTGTTGGGAGATGATTTAAAATGTTTATAAAGCCTCATTTGTAAAATATATTATCCCAGTAGCCATTCTGATGCTAAGCCAGTGTTACTTTTTCTGTTTTAATAATGTCGCACAGTTATTTTAACATAAACAACTAACTTTTAGACATAAAACTAACTTTTAATTATTTATTCTAGTTTTGTTATGAATTCATTAAATTCTATTTTTGTATTTAACATTCTTCTAAATAAATTAATAAGACATTTGAGATAATTGCTTTTTTTAAGTAAATCTCTGAGTTAGGATATACATAGTTATTGAGAGGAAAAAATAATCACAAAAAATATTATAGATGACCCAGAATAAGGTTGTGTTCCTCAAATTATGATAAAGAAGATTCTAGAATTATTTTTCTATGTTGCAATGCCTACCCTAGGGCTTTCTTTTAAGTCCAACTGTCAGATAAACATAGGTAACACTTGGCAACAGGTTAATTTAAAAGGACATAGAACAGAAAATACCTTGTCAGGAGGGCAGTATTACTCATTTCTTTTCATTGTGAGTTAAAATCATTTATTTAAAATATAGGTCAGATGCAAGGGGATACTCTCATATTCAGAAATGCAGAAATCTGCCTGTTTAAATCCTAGTAAACCAGTGAAGTCACTATCTCTTTTAACAACGCCAAAGGCATATATTTCAAGTTCTCCAAAAGAAAAAGAAGTCCAATTTCAAGAATCACTGAAATAAGAGCTCAAAGACATTTATTTTTATGCATTTATTGTTCTTCTAAATAACTTTTACCAGTCAGGGGTTATATTACTATACACAGTGTTGCCTAGAGCCATAGCTACATTCCACCTTTATCAAATTTCCATGAGAAAAGAGCTTTAAATTACCCAAAACTATAAATTCTCATTCAGAATACAAGCTTACTCAGATACATCTGTCATACTATTTTTTTGCATAAATATTTCTTGTCCATAGAATTTATAATTGTAAACTTAAGTCCCATTTTGTTCTTTTTCATATTTTTACAGGTAAAATTTGGAAACTATGCTTTCGTATGGGATGCAGCTGTGTTGGAGTACGTGGCAATCAATGACCCCGACTGCTCCTTTTACACCATTGGGAACACTGTTGCTGACCGGGGGTATGGCATTGCCTTGCAGCATGGCAGCCCTTACCGAGATGTTTTCTCACAAAGGTAAGATTTGTGTACAGTCCAAAGAATGAGAGAGGAAATTCGGACAAAAAAATCTACTTGATTACCTAATCTAGTCTATTTCTTTGTGAGGAGAAACAAACAATAACCCCCCAAAAAGGTCGCTAGAAGCCTAAGACTATTTCCTAAACCATGTACTCAAGTATTATCTTTTTCATAAGTAGAGGAAAAAATATTGCTGCATATAATTTGTCTTATTTTCAAGATAACTTATATGATAAATAAATTAAGTGTACTAGTAATTTCTGTTAGAACTTAATTGAGCAGTCTAGACTCTGAATTGTTAAGAACTAAAAATCATTAGTTAGGAAAACTAATCCATTTCTAAGAATAGTGAAACATAAAATAGACTTCAGGACCAAATTAAAGTTCTAATATACTATAGCACATAATGTTAAGGACAATTTCCATCTAGAATTTTTAAAGCAAAAGGGTAAGAATTTAAAGTACTCCGCTTGATATCAAAGCATACATAAGCCCTTGTCACAGAAATCAAGGAGACCACTTATTAAGAAGTTATCACCATCTTAAAGAAATTTTCTTTTATAAAGAAATTGTTTAAGAAAGAAAGTTGTAAAATATATATTTTAGATTAATAATATATACAAAAGACTGGCCTGAAAAGAATTCCCAAGTATCACTCCACTTCATTCTAACTTCTACCAAACAAGCTTGGACTTTAGAGAAATTATATCTTCCAGGTAGAAGTATATTGTATGTGATCCCAGTAGTACTCTTTGTTTTCAGATAAGTTCAGACCAGGGACAGTTAGTTACTGGCAATGAATGCTAATGCCTCAAATTTCAAATTATTCGAGTTGTACTTCTCCAAATTTTAGGAATATAAAATATATTATTAAAATGAGAGAACTAAAAATTAGTAGTTCACAACTTATAACATAACTTCTATTAGATAAACATAAAAAGCTTGACCTCTCTCCTTATCTACAAAACAGGGAAGTTAGATTAATTCTATGGTATTACAATAGCTTTCCTGTGTAGCGAAACCTCCCAAACTATCAGTCACTCAAAATAAGTGATTTCTCATTCAGGAACCACAAAGGTTGTGATGTGGCCGAGCTCTGCTGCAAGCTGTGGATGAGAGGCAGATCTGCTCCACGTAGCTTGTTATCCCACTGTCAGGTTCTCCAGTCCAGTCTGTGTCAGGCTATTCGTAGGGCCAAGAGCGGCTGTGAAAGAGGCTGGCAGAAATATGCAGTACCTGCTGTGCTTGGATGTGGCACACATCCCATCCACCCACAGACCACTTCCCAAGGTGAGGCTAAACCAAGCCCAAAATCGATGGTTGTATACAGCTAGCCATTCCACTCCACTGAAGAGGGAGTAATAAATATGAACAATGAAACAAACCCAGTAGAACCTTTTGTGTCCGAACATAAGACAAATGCAAAATATGCATAAACTGAAAGCAAGAAAGGTATAAATGATTAATCAATCAAAACACATTTATTGATAAGCAGACTAAGGGGGAACAAACTGGAAAATCAATTATGCCATAGAGAAACTGCCAGCAAGGCAATTACAGTACAGTTAGAGATAACAAAAACCATTCACATGCATCCCAAAGTCCCTTGGAGTTCAACTCCAGCAACAAAAAATAAACACAAAAAAGCCCATTCATATGAAATAATAAACAATACAGACATTTCTGTAAGTGTGTATTGATGCACACATCTATGGATACATAAAATATCAGTGTTGCATATTTATAATGCCTTAAGCTGTGTAGCTGAGATATTGAAAGGATTGAACAGCATACAGAATAGAGTTAAGCAAAGGAAACATGAGTAAAAGCTCTCCAGAGAAGTGAGCCTTGAACTTGATCTAAAAGGATTAACAGAGAATACTTAGGCTGAAAGAAAAAAAAAATAGGTAATTCTTGGAGAACTAATTAAGACCACAGAGGAGAAGGAGAAGACAGCAGAATGTGTTAGGGAATAATAAGGACATGAAGCTAGTGTGAAAGGAAATTTGAATGTTAGAAGTCCTATTGGTGGTCATTAACAGGTACAAAAGTCTACTGTCTGTTGTAGAATCTAGGAGTAAAATGATGAAGGTGACATTTAAGGGAAGCTTGATCTAGTTTTTATATGAAGAAAAAAATTGAATTGTCAAAGGCTGGAGCAAACCTAGAGGCATGAGATGATGAAAGTCTGGTCTAGAATTGGGCAAGGAAATGAGAAGGATGAGATAGACACTTCTGAAGGCAGACCCACAATGTGGTCTTTAATTCAGATGTGAGGATGGAAAGCCATATCCAATGAAAGAGGATGTGGAGTTCCTCGGCAAAAGACCAGCAGCAAAGTTTAATGAGTGCATAACAGTTCCCAGGTTGGTGAGAAAAGGATTATTGATATTCATTATGGTTGTTTTTTCACCACTAAAAGTGTTCTTTGTTTCCAGACCTGATTTCTGAGTCTCTTATACAAAAAAATGTGCAATAATAATATTTAGCAAATCATATCAAATATTCCTCTTCTTATTATTCCATAGTATTTTATCCACCAGAGTTTGATTCTGAAGGAATGTGTTCCACCAAACTGCTGAAAAGCAATATTAAGTTTTGAATAATAACTTCCCTTTGTTTGATAAGCATTATAGATGGTGGCAGTTTCAATTGTCCCTTTCTGTGGTGTTCCTTAATAATGACACCCTGCATCCTGGTCCCCTGGACACTTGGAAGAAAGGAGAGCCAAGAAAGAAGCACGATCCGGCAACCTCAGTGTGCCAACTCCTCTCCTTCTACGTGTGCCACACTAACTCATTGTCCCAAGTGTCGGCCTGAATTCAGAACGTATTTATATTCATTCTTTTTGCTAAGGCATTAAGAAAGGAAATCTCTCCTTTTTTATTAATTTTTTAAAATATAAAGATCATCAAATTGGGCTGGGGATTTAGCTCAGTGGTTCTGCCGCCTGCCTCGCAAGCACAAGGTCCTGAGTTTGACCCCAGGTACCAAAAAAATCATCAAATTTAACCATTGTAGTACACTTTGGAAAATATTATATCCAGCCTGATTTATCGGCTTAATGTAGACCACTGATTAAACTAGACCACTGATTGCTACTGTGATTATTTTCATTTTCAAAACGTTATCTTAAAAACTATACTATTATATATTTAAAACCAACTGGTTTTATTGTATCCACTTTTTCTGGCCTAGATCAAGAAAACAAAATAGTGAAAGTGGTGGTGTTTATATAACAGGAAATATTTGAGAAAGGAAAATATTTGAGAAGAACCAAAGCAAAAACTAGAGCACACATTCCAGGTTCACTTCCAAAGTGAGAAAAGAGTAGAATGAAAATTAATATATATTTATTATAGATTTGTACATATAATTTATATTCAAAATGATTTATCCTACAAAATGTGAAAGAAAAATATTCTTTGCTCATATAATATCGATCCATTAAGTAAACATTAGCTTTGGGAACCCATCCATTGAAGGGAATGTACTATTCCCATTCCAGAGCAACCCTCCTTTACAGCATCTATTTTAATTTAGAATTTTGAATGTAGACAACTTCAATATAATGAAAAAGTAACTTTATTTGTCAATCATTTTTGTTATTTCCTCCTGATTCTTTGTAGAGCTCCTTGTATGACTGCTATTCTGTAGGTTTTACCAGTCACCCTGACTGCTGATTCTAGCAGAGAACCTAAATAATTCTCATTTGTTCAGTGCGAAGTCCAAATGGATGGAAGAGTAGCCACCATAGTCGGTGATATTTCCTGTGTGAATATTTCAAAAATATTCACAATTTGGACACAATATGATTTGAGATTAGCTTTATTAATCTTGCAAAGCAGTAGCAAAATTTTTCAAAAATTATAAATCTTTACTATGGAAGCCTACAATATTCTCACTGCTGAGCTCAGATCTCACCTTCAGACTTGTGCAGCCACAGAGCTGTTCCAAAAGTCCACTCTCCTTGTGCTAAGATCACACGGCATCGGGGGAATTTATCCAGGAAATGAGAAAGAGAACCCTATAAAAAGAAGTGTCTTTATTAAACGTTCCCGAGAAAAGTATGGAGGTGCAGGGAAGACAAATGACTAGCACGAGGTGCAAAGCAGTAGCTCAGCAGGGTAAGGAGCCCAGGACACTGCACCAAGCTGCATTGTGAGAAGCAAGTATGATCAACCACTTTTTTGAAAGATTTTTGCCATTTCTAGATATAATTATTGTTTCATTAAAAAAGCAATTGTTTAACAAAAAGCATAGTTACTACAGTGATAGAAGTTAGGTATGATTAAAGTCTGAGTTTTTAGTAAAATATTTCAATTTAAAACTACAAATGTGTAGTTGAAATATATATATATATATATATATATATATATATGTACATGTCACACACATACACACACACACACACACACACTCCAGAGTAATTCTAAGCCTCTCTGGAAAAAATCATCTTATTCCATTATAATTAAATCACATTTTTAAAATTCAAAACACTCATTTTACTCACTACACATGACCTCAAGACATGGTTTATTGCTTTAAAAATCCTGCCTACTTTGAAAGTGAAATTTTGATGTCATTGAGGGTGATCAAAGAATTGCTACATTTTGATAGACCCTTAAACTATTGTAAGCATGGCAAAATCACAGGAAAAAGCTTATAGGCTTCCATGATAATTATGCTCGGGGAGGAATTGACCACAGACCATAAGACATGAGTGAGACTTTGTCATGCATTTAAACAGACCCCATCACTTTAAAAAGTGAAACGAAGAAGAGAAGACAGACGACCTGTCCAGAATCCAACCCTTGGTCAAAGCATGCCCTGGAGCTCACTAATCCAGGCCTCCATTTCAGTGTCCCTTCCCCTACCCTGTTCTTCCAGTTAAGAAAATAGATTTTATGCCTAAAATTTCTAGTAAAATAAATACTTTTAGATACAGTTATATCACTCTATTAAATGAGAGCGAGAATATTAATTTTAAAATGTTC